AAATCTACAGACAGCAACTGGATGAGCAGTTTCTTAGGGTTATGACGGGGGTGGGGTGGGAGTGGGGGGGCTGGTTATCAGCCTTGGGGGCTAATCATAATGGATACAAGAATGAAGAAAATGGGGTGATTCATTCACAACCATCTTTAACATACTTTAAAAGTGGAATTGTATGATATGTGAATTATGTTAATAAAACCACTTAGAAAGCCCCCCCCAAACAAAGCAAAAAACCCTCAAACAATCTTCAAGATCATAGCGAATCTGTTCCTTCTCTCCAGAGTCTTAGCCACTTCTACTTCCTGGCTCCGATGCATGTGAGACACCCAGTGCTCCTCTCTTGCACCCACTGCGCCACGGGCATTGATTGTAGACAGAACTGGAGGGCAGTGCCCAGAGCTGGGTCAGCTATGGTTGTCAGCACCAAGCCCAGGCTAATAGCAGGCGCTCTGGGTCCACTTGCTAGATAGATGGCCTGCTGGTCACAGGGCCCTCTGTACCTCATCGTGCACGCTCCCTTAGAGACGGTCATCAGGCTCCCTGGGGTTTCCCAGTCTCCCATTGACCCTGAACCCTGGGAGAGTCAAATCCCAGAGGGATACAACTGTTTTTGGACTCCACACTGGAAAGATGGTCAACAAACTGACCACGTGCTTCCAAATACAAATGAAGTCAAAGGGGGCAGAATGCGGAGCTGGTGGAAGAAGCAACACAATAGGATCCGAGAATTAGGAGTCCCAACCTAACAGCAGCCTAGATAAAAACTGGTTTGCACAAAATTGATCAAAGTACTCCGAGGTCAGTTTGTTTTTAGAACCACCTTGCCAACTGCTGCCACCTTTATGCAACTGCTGGGCTGGAAAGCAAGCGAGGCTTGGGCTAACAAAGGATGCTATTGATAGAGGTGGGTAGGGAGGGGAGGATAAGAAATGCAAGTGGAAGAACAGGAATTTAGACTTATAGATAAAAACACACACACACCCTTCCCATCCCCCAATCTAAACATTTCTGTTCTTGCTGAAAATGACACTCATTTAACAAGATCTATGTTGATAAATACGACTCTTGTTTTAGGAACAGTGTAGACCCAGCAGTTCCCAGGGTCGATGGCCGACCCTGGCTGAACAAAGGCAAAGCAAACAGCTGTGTGGAGTGTCGGTGTGTCTGAGGAGAGAGAGGTACGGGGTTCTTGAGAGAGGCTGTCGTTCTGCGTAAGAAAGAATAGAACAGGCATGCGTGCTGGCAGCAGAGGAGAGGGGACTCTCTCCCACATGTTTGTTCCAGAACCTGCCCTGGAGACTAGTGCCAACCACTGGGCTGCCTGGGCAGGGGGGCTTCTGGGGACACTGCCCATCTGTCATTGGGTCCCTTGAAACCCCCACAAGTGACCAGGTCCTCTTTCTCAAACTGGGATGCTATTGAAAGCCATCCGACGCCTGTGGGAGTGGGCACTGCCTACCCCTCTCTTCTCTTCCTGCAGCGCCATCGTCTTCTAACTGGCCTTGCGTGCCACAGCTAGGCCGTCCAGGGTGATAGAAGAGGCTAACCCAGTGTGTCTGCCCATCAGTGCAGCTGTGTCGCTCTGGCACGTGAGCAGCCGCAGTCCTTGTTGTAAAGGAAAACATGCACAGACACCTCTGTGATGTGCTCCGCCTGTGATTCCTAAGTGTAACTGTACCAGAGGAATAACCAGCTTTCGTTCCAGGGCACAGAAAAGAGCACTGTACGGTTGAAAAGCCAGGAAAGGGTCGCATCTGCTTCCCTAGCTTTTCCAGTCTCGCAAATTCTTAGCAGTTTTTTCTCTTTCTCCCTGGCATAGTGGAGCTTAAAAAAGAGAACGTTTAATTGGCATATACACTTCTCCTATCATACGACTTAATTGTCCAGTCACGCGGGATTATAAAGAGACTTTCTCCAGCTTTGTCTCCCCCAAAGACATGCCAAACATTAGGGGCTATTTGCCAGCATATGGTGGGAGGTCAGCTGCTTAGAGACATCCTCCCTGAAGCCAATCAGTCACCAGACTATGGCAGGCCCGGCTCCCTGATATTAGGGATACTGAGCTACTTCTCCCTAAAGGTTTGCCACCATTAAGCTTGGTTCCTGTAGGTGGAGTTTACACCCTACTGATAATGGTGCCAGGGAACAGGTCAAACCGGCTCTGTGACATCCAAAGTTAGGCTGCCACCCTGAATATAGGATCCGCCCAGCTTGTCACATGTATACCCCCAATCCCTCCTCTTCCTATTGCACGTATATCCCTAGATTGTCCCCCTCTCATTGCTGTATAACCTATAGTGAAACCCCTTTCTGTGACATATGTCTTTACCTGTAATTAGTGGGCTTGCACTCCCCGCCAAACATATATAGGCCTGGGTTGGCAATAAAGATCTCTTGGCTCCTCTCCTTGGCTCCCTCTCCTCCCCTGTTCCCTTTCCCCTTGTCCTCCTTCCCGTCCCCCTCTCTCCACGTGGACCACCAAGCGGGGCTGAGGTGAGCATTGCTACTATGAAATGTGTCTGATTCCATTATTTCAATCTCTCTTCTACCTCTCATGCTCTCGGTGACTTTAATATAATACATATATCTCAACCGTACACTTGTGCCTATCGGACCCGTGATTAGTGGTGGGGCGGGGCTGGCACCCCCTCCAACCACACAGTCATATTAAAAAGAGCTGGGC